GGATGAATTTTTATTTGAGTTGTTGGATTGAAAAATGTGTTGAAATTATGTTTGAAGTTAAAATGACAAATTTGTCCCTAAGATCACATTTTTTCAAATTTGATGTAAAGGAGCAAAATCGGCATTTATCAAGAGATGACACAACTTGTCAATGTAACAGTGTAGGTTGTGCCTACACTGCCCACGATTTTAGCTATTTTTTTTTTTTAAATATAAAGTGTTGGTTTAGGGACTTTTTAGTTTTTTTTTAGTTTGAAGCTATTTTAGCCTCAAACTCATCTGCCCAAACTCCCCCATTATTGTTGGCGTGATACTTGAGAACCTCTATCAGAGTGTTAGTGGTGAGCCTTAATAATTTATGTATAGAATTATATTAAAAAAGATAACGCATGGTTTGGATTAAATTCTTATATAATAGAACTTACATTTTAAATGAATCTACATTATAGATTAAATATTCTGAGTATTTTAGCATTATTTTAATTTAAATATATGTTTACTTTTTGACAATTATACTTTTACTTGAATTATTCGAACTTGAGAAAATCGGACTGCCCCCTTGAATCATTGGATGAATTTTGAACATGACACGTTAATACAGCACAAATTCAAATCGGCAACACAATAACATGAAAAAATTAAAGTGATTAGTGTAAAGAAGTTGAGATTGTGGAATTTGAATAGTAGTGTACATTTCACTAGGAGGTTGAAAATTCCCCTATCCAAAGGTGGGGTTCAGCGGTTGTGCCCTCGAGGCGACTTGTATTAAAGGTATTACAGTAGTTTGTGGTGTTTAAAAAAAATAAATATTACAATAACTTGTTATTACAAACCCTAATATATATATATATATATATATTATTTGTCTTCACAGTAGTTTTTATAACATAACCGAAAGTAGGATTCGGCAGATATTCTTTCTTTTTTTCTTTTCTTTTTTTCATACTATGTGGAATTGGTATAACTTGTGGACATGGGCCATCTTGTCTAATAATATGTTTGTGTGGATTGATTCTTTCTATTTTCATGTGTTGTTTATTCTTGTAAGCATGTAACAATTCAACCAATCATAAATTGTCATGTTTTATAAAGGCTTACAAAATATGGCATAATTATTGACAAATCAAATCTTGCCATGTATTTAATTAGTCCCAAATAGAAGATTACATGATGGTCAAGTCAAATATTGTCATGTATTCAAGTGATGCAGTAAATAAGTCTTTTGCTAATCAAAGTAAGTCATTTATCACATTGAGATGATCAAGCCAATAAAATTATGCCACACCTTTTGATATTTATCTCTAAATAAATGGGAGATAATTATCAAAGAAGTTTAAGTCTGTTAAGACTTTCCACCATCCATTCCTATGAATAGAGTGATCTCTACCAGAATTTTACATACAATTTTTCATTTAATTCTACATACATAAATAAAGTTGTAAAGATAAAAATCTACATCAAGTCAAGAAAAAAAACTCCATTGGATTAAAATTCCAAAATCCCGAAGGTCTCTTCACCAAAGTTTATCAATCTCCATAAAATTTATATAAAGTTTGGAAATTCAAGTCAAAATTCGTCAAATTTATCGTCTTTTACTAAATTGGAGAGAATTCTACAATCTGATTTAAGAAAAAGCTATAGAGCTCTCAAGTCAAAATCTTACAAATTCATCATCTTTTTCGCGTTAATTGAAGGAGATCTCGCCATTCAATTCGGAAACAAACTATTAAGTTCTTGAGTCAACTTGTTAAAGAAAAAAAATTGAAGAATCATTCTTTTGTACAAAAATATCCTAGAGATTGTAATGATGTTATTTTAAATCAATAAATTTATATTTTGTTACTCTATTATTCTATTTTTATTTTACAGGCAAAAAAATTATGTATATAATTCCTTATAATTTTTTTGAAAAATAACTTCGAAATGAAACAATACGAACGTGAGTAACATTCTCACCCATAACCTACAGGGAAGCAATAATGGCTTGAAGTTGCACGCCCTGCATATGAAACAGGGACCATAGTCATGGCAGTATGGAGTGACTACTTTAGGCTTCACTACTAATCAAAGGGCATTTTAAGTCGGTTGAATTTGCTGACGTAGTAAATATTTATTTTTATGCTCAAGATATATATATTTACTCGATTGTATTTAATAAATATATTTATATGTATATAATATATACTTTAATTTTTTTTTCATTATAATGAAATAAAAATACTAAAATATTATACTTAATATCAATTTTTACTTTTTTATTTTATATCTTATAATTCTCATTAAGTATGAATTATTATTCATAATATATTATATTTTCTATAATTCTTTTTTATTTTTATTTTCATTCTTTTAACTTACAAAATTAACCAATTCCCATCCCGCCACCCTAATATATGATACGGGAAGACTCAACCCCAACCCATGACCATCATAATATGGTATAAATTTGAAATTGGTAAGATAGCAGTCACACCCACAATAAATATAATATTTTGAATTATATTTTGGATTAGGTTATAACTTATAAGGCCTGTGATATATGCATGTGTTTTGAGCCATTACAACCTCTGAGAAACTGAAATTGCTTTCAACAAGAAAATTGTTATTTTGAAATGACAAACCATGTTCTCTCCATTGTGACAAGGTGATGAGATACTCATTCTTGAAAAACTTCCATTTAGTCCAAAGAAAGTTGGCTAAGCCATTTGCAATTATTGAAACCCCCAAAGTCCACTACCATACTCTCTCCAAACCACCAAGACCCAACCAAGTCCTTAGAAAGTATCTAAACTCCAATTCAACCACCAAGGCTCTGTTACTCTTTAGAGACTTATTGAGAAAAAACACTTCGTCAATTGATAGCTTCTCTCTATTGTTTGTCATTAAAGCATGCACCCAAAAGTCCTTACTCATTGAAGGGAAACAAATCCATGCCCTTGTCATAAACCTTGGCTTTGAACCCATCATTCATCTCCAAACCTCACTCATTGACTTGTATTCTGGTGTGGGAGATATTAGCAATGCACACCACGTGTTTGATGAAATACCCATTAAAAATGTTGTCTGTTGGACTGCTTTGATTTCTGGGTATGTTGATAACCAGAAACCCAACAAAGCTCTTCAACTGTTTAGGAAAATGCAGATGGTTAATGTAGAGCCTGATCGAGTTACGTTGACTGTTGCTCTCTCTGCTTGTGTCGATGTTGGAGCTTTGGATATGGGAGAATGGATTCACGGTTATGTTCGTAGAAAAAAAGAACTCGATATTGACTTGTGCCTAAACAATGCTCTCATAAACATGTATGCAAAATGCAGGGACATTGAAATTGCTAGGAGGTTGTTGATAGCGCGAGGAAAAAAGACGTCACGACTTGGACATCCATGATTGTGGGGCATGCATTGCAGGGGGAAGCTGAGGAAGCACTAAGACTTTTTGCATCCATGAAAAAGGAAAACAAAAGTGGGAAAAAGAAGAATTGTGATCCCGGGAATGGTTTAATCCTCCCAAACGATGTTACTTTCATTGGAGTTCTAATGGCTTGCAGCCACGGAGGGATGGTGGAAGAAGGGAAGAGGCATTTCCAAAGCATGATTGAGGATTATGGTTTAAAACCTAGGCTTTCTCACTTTGGTTGTATGGTAGATCTTTTATGCAGAGCTGGGCAATTAAAAGAAGCTTATGAGTTTATTCTAGATATGCCTGTCAAGCCAAATGCAGTGGTGTGGCGGACTTTGCTAGGTGCTTGTGGTGTTTGGGGCAACATTGATTTGGCTGCAAAGGCTCGTGCACAACTACTTGAATTGGAGGCTAGTCATATCGGTGACAATGTCATTATGTCTAATATCTATGCTGCCAAAGGTATGTGGGATGAGAAGATAATTGTTAGAGCTATGATGATGCAACGTAGGGCTCCCGGTTGCAGTTCAATAGAAGTTGGAGGTGAAATTAATGAGTTTGTCACTGCTGATGATGAGCACCATATGAAAACAGAAATTTACGAGGTTCTTGAATACTTGATTAAAACAATGAGAGATCATGGTTATGCTCCTGGGCTGTCAAGCCTAGCAGAGTACTGATGTATGGAAGAGTATTGGTGACAATTGAAAGTCAATGCCAGTTGGTTGGTTCTATATCTCTATCAAATTCATCATTAAATAATCAATTGAAAATTTTCTTTTATGATCCCCTGAATTTTCAGGTACACATTTTTCTTAAATAAAATGAAATGATGCTTGAAATATTTTGTTGGGATGTATATCCTAGAAATGGTAATGAAATATGCTTTCTTCCTACAAGGATTGCAGCACAATTGTTTAGGTACTGATCAACCATTTTTAGACTGTAATAACTTCTCCTTTTCTTCCGATTGAGATGCAAAAGCGTGCTTGGATCATGGGCTTGTGGAGAAGAAAAAGAGAATCATTTTCTTTTCCTTCTACAAACCCTCCACAAATCCACCATCCAAATACAACATACTTAAGGTTTTTTAAGGTATCCTTTTCAATTGATATTATAACTATCACCTAATCTTTTTTGAAATGAGGTTAATCTTTGATAAAATTTTATGGATTTTAATTTTAAGAACTTTTTCTTTTTCTTTTTTCAAAAATTACTAAAACAAAAAAAATATAGGGCCTTCTCCTATGTGAGGACCTTAGACAGCAGTCTCATTTGCCTAATGATCAAACCACTATTAAAGCACTAGGAATTGGCATCCTAAATGTTGTGGACAATTTTGAGAAATGGAGTGGGAGATTGGCCTTGTTTGGTTCAGATTATTACAAGCTAAAAATAATCATCTATATCCGTATTTGAAATGGACTTAGTCGGATTGAAATTTAGGCGGATTGTCTACATCTTTTGCAAACTATTAAAAAGCAGAATTGTGACTGGTGGAGTAGTATAATTGTCATACAAGACTTGTTTTGGTTAATACAGCAGTTTCTTTTAGTTCGCCTTTGCAAGGTTCTTCGCGGCTTGGTGCAACCGGCACATGTACTAGCAAAATCAACCGTGGATGCTGGGTAGTCTTGTAGTGTTTGTTCTGTATTTTGAGTTGCTCTGTTCTTATCTAGTTGTTAGTCTATGTTCGTGTGGTATGGTGTAGGTACCCCTAAGATTGTAAGTTGCTATGTTGTTTATTAATGCAATATAATCCTTTTCCAAAAAACAAAAAAAAAAATATTCCCCAACTTTGCTATACTTAACTTTTGAAACTTATTTAAGTCATTTTGCTCATTAGTGAACAACACAATATTTTACAAATTCAAAAAATTATTAAAAAAAAAAATGAAAAGAAAAGAGAGGGATCATAATAAACTGCACTACACAGAACCTCCAACCAACTTGATTTCAACTCATGCATGCAAGTACAAGAAATATGCTGCCAATAATATGCATGTTAATACAAATTTCAATACGATAAACTTGTAGTTGTAGACATTCCGGTCCAAAGAACATAGAAGAAAACCATGTCATGTGACTTCATGGTTTGAGTCCTCTTTGATTACACACTGGCAGCCTCAGGTTTGTGGCAATCAAATCTTCATTTTATTTCTTTCTTCTTATTATTATTTTTTTAGGTAAATTATACTAATCTTTTTTGAGGTTTGAGAAAAATATAGTTAGGATTATAAATTTGGCATAATTACACTGACCTCTCTTTTAGAAAAGTTAAAATGATTAAAATTAATGTAAATAATAGTAGAGAATGAAATAATTTTACATTTAAGTAGAAAAGAAATAATATCATTTTTTCATCTATACGACTCACAAATTATTGAGAAATGAGAATTTAAGTCATATGTAGATTAAAACTTAGAGGGAGGCTGGTGTAATTATGTCACAAGTTTGAAGTTAATTATATTTTTTTCAAACCTTTAACAAAGGTTCGTATAATTTACCTTTTTTTTTTGGGCAAATTACATATACACCCCTCCAGGTTTGGCAAAATTACAGATACCCCCCTGAGGTTTCGGAAATTACATCCCGCCCCCTGAGGTTTGTATTTTCATAACAATTTGCCCCCTGAGGTTTATATTTCATAACAAATTACCCCCTAATTTCTTATGCAAATATAGCATTCAGGGGGGAATTCGTAATTTCTCAAACCTCAGGGGGGATCTGTAATTTAGCCAAACCTCGAGGGGTGTATATGTAATTTGCCCTAATTTTCTGTATAAAGAGATGGCTAAAAAGAGTCAAATTTTATATTTTTTTTTTGTGCTTGACCTTTTCCCGCCGATAATAATAATAATAACAATACTGCATTAATAATTTTAATTCTACATTAAACATCACTACTAAAAGGATATAGAGGAAATATTTTGTCCTCCAAATTTTCAAGTGTTTTTTAATTTGACATTCAGATTTTAATTAATATTAATTTTACACTTAAACTTTTAAAATTTTGATCAATTTGACCATTGCTGTCACATTTCGTCTATAATTGGACGGAATGTACTAATGTGGCACAAAGTTCATTTGAAATTTTATTTTATCTCCCAAATTATACCTTAAAAATTAATTTACCCCCAAATATAAAAAATTAAATTTAAATATTTAATAAATAATTATTTTATCTCAATAATGAAAAAATTAAATTTTAAATAATATATATTTTGCAAAAAAAAAATAATAGAAAATATAAAAATCCTCATTTATAATCATTTTGAGACTATGAAGTATGAATAATTTGACAAACATGTCGTATCCATACTGAATACTTACTGACGTATGATATTTTTATATATGTACCGGGTATACAAAACACATAGTCAAATTTTTCCTTCTTAATTTTTAGCGTACTTAAACATATCTAGTAAATAACGAAACCGTACCATACCTCAGTCAACAATATTTTTTTCTACTACAAAAATAAAATTCTTTTTACTAGACTTCTTTTTCATTTTTAGTTTTGTGCTTGCCGTGATTTTAAAATTAAGCTATGATTTGTAAGTTATTTAATATAATGATATTTAATTTTGATTTATCTTATACTTGTACTTTTGTCATTAAATGTCAATTGTATGTTGGATTTAATAAATTAAACCATTTAATCACTTTTTTGTATTATTCCAAATTAAAAACAAATATTTTTTTTACAAACATATTAAGTTGTATCTGTACCTTACTTTTTTTAAAATTTTACCGTGTCGACGTATTTGTGTCGTACTAATACTAGTACTCATACTTGTACCTACGATTCATAGGTCTCAAATTATCTCGAGTCGATCCTACAAAAACTTATTGTAACTAGTTTATTACCCAAATTAATTTCAATAGAATGGATCGACTAATAGTAATTTTAAAATTGAGTGAGAAAAAAATTTCAAAATTTGGTAAGTATTCGATACGGATGTAACATGTTTGTCAAAGTACTCATGTTTCATAGTGTCAAGATAATTCTAAATGAGGATTTTCATATTTTTTTTATTATTTTGTTTGCAAAGTATATATTATTTAAAATTTAATTTTTTTCATTATTGAGATAAAAAAATATTTGTTAAATATTTAAATTTAAATTTAAATTTTTCATATTTCAGGAGAAAATTGATTTTTAAGGTATAGTTTGGGAAGAAAATAAAATTCCAAATAAGCTTTAGTATCACGTTAGCACAATCTGTCTAATTATAGACGGAATGTGACGGCAGAGGTCAAATTGATCAAAATTTTGAAAGTTTAGGTATAAAATTGATAATAATCAAAGTTTAGGAGTTAAATTAAAAAATACGGAAAAGTTTGAGGAGCAAAATGATATTTTGTCTTTTTCTTTTTAAAAATGATATAAAAGTGATGGGGAAATGACCTACTGGTCAAACTCAGAAAAAGTTAGGTAAAGTACCAATAAATTTTAAATAGTGATATTATAAATTGTTTGGTCTTTTTTTTATGAGTACAAAGATCTCATTCTAATGTAAATTATATAAATGACCAAATATAAACGTACGTGTGTTATGTATTAAGGGACAAATGCAAATTTTCTCATAATGTTGAAATTACTAAATGTAACACTTTTCTAAACATAACATTCTAATATAACACTCAAAAAATGTAACAGTCCAATATAATACATTAAAAAACTTCTTAGTGTGCTTTTTTCAAACATAACAATGTAACATTTTAAAAAAACTCCTTAGTGTACTTTTCCCAAACATAATACTCTAATCAATGTAACACACAAAAACTTTTTAGTGTACTTTTATTAAACGTAATAACATAACATTCTAAAAAAACTTCTTATTGTATTTTTTTCAAAAGTAACATTTCAATCAATGTAACACACGAAAACTCCTTAGTGTATTTTTTTCTAAATTTAGTACTCTAATATAACACTCTAATGTAACACTAGAAAACCACACTAACAGAAATGTAGATTTTCACTCTCGACAACTAACACTTCAGCCATCAATCTATTAGGAAAAATATATGATTTCTCACTAGTAAATCAATTAATGGGAATAAAACTAATGTGAAAAAATTAAATCAATAAAAACACAAGAATTTTTACGTGGTTCCCTCAATGTAAGGTATGTCCACGGGATTGAAATCCGATTCCACTATCAACCAAAGAGTTTTTAAACAATGACAAACAAGACGCGAATGGTCTCACAAAATCACCTTTAGGTGAATTCCTAATAATCACTAATAATCAAGAGGAAAGATCTCACTAAATAGATGAACAAAAATCTTCAAACTAAAGTTATAGAAGATCCAAAATAATAACCCAAATCAGTCTCCACAACAAAACCTTTTCCGGATGAAAATAGCAAAATGAAACTCCAAAGCAAATAACAGTCACCTAACAACCAAGATTGAACCCACCAATTGATCTTACACAAAAGCACTCACACAGCACGCTTATGCATCACAAGCACACCCACCGAATTGATTTATAACGGCTTCTACCTCCTTCGGGAAAAACAAAGACAATATTTATATATATTGTTAAATATTGAGCTTTTTAACAAAATCCTAATTACTACCAAACTGATTATTAAATCCTTATTAGGCCTTTAAAAATTAAATATAATATATTGAAAATATATTATAACCAACACCAAACCAAATCAAATTC